TGTGATGTAAAGTGGCAGGTGTGATGTAAGTGGAACGTGTGATGTAAGTGGCAGGTGTGATGTATCCTTGTGTTCTATTCAATTCTTTGCCATTTGAAATGTTACTGAACAGAGGGCCAGGAGATGTGTTCATAGGGGAAGCAAAATAAGCCACTTGATCTGCCAATGAGTTGCTAGTTATCTACATTAGTAATGTTATTATTTAATATTCTCAGTAGACTCATTAATGATTAATGAATCGAAAATTCATTAGAAAGATAATTAGACCTTAGAATTCATTCATATGCAAACATGTGAATATTTCTCTGCTATTAAAAAATATATATGCATATATAAATATATACATTTTTGGAATCCTATTTCAAAAACTGTTTAAATACAATTGTGGATGTAAATGAACATATATAACCAGTATTTTGTTGATATTTAGTAGAGACATTCAGAAAACCAGATAAGGTAGGTTATGCATTATGTCATTAAAAGACATAAATTCGTGGCCAGGCCCAGTACAGTGGCTCACACCTGTAACCCTAACATTTTGCCTGGAGGCCGAGGCAGGCAGATTTCCTGAAGTTGGGACTTTGAGATCAGCCTGAGGTAGACAAGACACTGTCTCTACTAAAAGCAAAATGGGGACAGTATCTGGATGTTGTGGCATGTACCTGCAGCCTCAGCTGACACAGGAGGGTTGTTTGAGCCCAAGAGTCTGAGGTTGGAGTGAGCTATATGATGTGACTGTCTGTCCAGGGTGACAGAGCAAATCTCTGTATCTCACACACACACACAAAAAGTCACAAACTCATAAACTTTCACATCCATAACAATGCTTGGACAGAAATTGATTTGGGATAATAGACTTTGGATCACGTTCAGAACTAAGACCACCCCAGTACCACGGTATTAAAGCTCACAAATCTATTTATGGCAGAGGATTGAGATTTCCAGCGTCCTGGAGAGCTACAGGCAGAGTTGTTGCCAGAGACAACTGGCCCTTTCTCTCCCTCAATTGGAAATATGACTGTGATGTTGAGTTTTCTCGAGAACTAGGAGTAACTAATATCCTTAAACATTCCCACGAGTAAAAGTGCATGGACATCCTTCAGAAGGTCAGTAGTATAACAAGAATTATCTGCTTCCTAACTGTGGAGGGATTCTGCCTGCGTGGAGAAGTCAGCTGTTCCCCAACAGGACATGCCAACAAGGCCAATGCCAGTGCCAGGGAGAGGCTGAGACGGGATGTCACCTGAGCTCCAGCTTGGAGCCGCTTCCCCCTGCGTGGTGCTGCCTCCTTGGCCCACACACCAGGAAGTTACATCTGGTCTGTGTCTCGCCTCTTCCTACAAAATCCACAGTCTAACTAGAGGGCTAGAAAAGTGTAATCTAGTGATACCAGTGTGCGGTAATTTAAAAATAAATTGAAAGGATTTGTTTTTAAAAGAATCTGCGACTAGATGCAATTATTTACATAATAATTCATTATTCATTTTACGTAATAATTCATTTTTCTGTAGTAATTCATTTTTATTCTTTTAATGAAATGTGTTGTATCGTAATAGCAAAGTCGCTCAACTCTTACCTAGGCATTTTTATGTCCAGAAAGCAATATAATTTTGGATTATGATTTTTATTTTGTGAGTGAATGCTATTGCTAAACAAGCTTTTAAATGAACTTTGGGCATTTATAACCTCTCTCCCACTAAGTCTTTACATGCTTGCATGGGGCCAAAGAGGATGTGACAACCTTCTCAGGGCCCAGGGACTCTCGCAGACTCTAAAGAGCTATTCACTCTTCACCTCTCAAAGTAGTTGGTGAAAACATTCTCATGGTCAGGGTTGTCTTCCTTGGTTTGCAACACATCTTTGCCCTAAAGTGTGTGTGATCTTAAAGTTTTGATATTTTTCAGCAAATCTCAGTTCATGGGTGATTCTTATTAAAGTGCTTACATTTTTTTTATTCCCTGCAGATGCATATACAACCTCAGAGGTCACTTATATTTGGACTTACAATGCGTCTGATTCAGTGGAGGTCGCCCCTGATGGCTCCAGGTTAAATCAGTATGATCTGCTGGGCCAATCAGTTGGGAAGGAGACTATTAAATCCAGTACAGGTGAGTAAACTGAGTCTAAAGAAAAGATGGGTGAAAGTCCTTGGGAATCTATCAGATTGTTTAAAACCTTCTGCTTTTAAGGTACAAAAATTAGCAGCATAGAATGGGTGCTGTGGTGCTTGGGTGTTTGGGTGCTTTTTAGACATTCAGAATCTTAGATCCCACCTCTTACTAAATAAATGAGCATTTGCATTTTAACACGATTCCAAGGAAATTCATATTGGTGTGAACAATTCAGAAATGCTGTACTAAAATATACCATATATTCAAAAAGCATGCTGTGTCTTTTCAGATCAGTCAATGCCAACATTTACCTTATAGCAAATGATAATTTCCCCCCCCCTTTTCTAATTCTTTTCCCCTTATTCTGGATAAATTATGATTATTTGACTTTGATTTAGGGATAGTTACTACTGGCATGCATGGGAAGCTGATTCCCTCTCTAAGGGCAACCTTCTCCTAAAACAAAGCAAAACACAAAGGAGCTTTGTGGATGAATTACTTTATATCTGGCAATAATTAAATTCCAAGGAGCAGAAGGGCAGTAGACAAGAGAATAAGATAGAAGTGACTGAAGCGGATGAGAACAGACGTACAATGGTGAGAAACTAAGTAATGATGGAAGGATGAGAAGTGGGAGATTCCAGGCCGAGAGACCAGCCTTGCACATGTGGCCAGTGACCAGGTTTAAAGAGCCAGAGAGCTCTGCGTTAGAACAATCTAAACAAAGGTTGAGGTTGGTACCAGTGGGGATGAGGAGTCCAAGCAAGTATAATAATCCACAGACAGAGAACGTGAATTCCCCTGGGCAATAGAAGACAGCCTAGAAAAAAATATTTACAGGTTGAGCATCATGAACCCCCAAATCTAAAATCTTAGGTGCTTCAAAATCTGAAACTTCTTGAGTGTTGACATAATTGACACTCAAAGGAAATACTCATTGTAGCCTTTCAGATTTCAGAATTTAGAATTAGGGATGATCAATCCTTAGTAATACAAGTATTTTGCAATCTAGAAAAATCAGAAACCTGGAACAACGTTTCTTCCCAAACGTTTTGAATGAGAGTTATTCAGCCTGGACGGTATCGTGGGATATGCAATGGGGGTTTCTTTATACTATTAACATTTTCCTTTAAATAGTCTTGTGATGTGCTAACAAAGCATACAGGTCATGTAAGTGTCATGACATCCAAGTGATAAATACCTTTTTTAAAAAATCAGAATCTGTTCTATAGCGAATCTCTCCTATTTCCAAAATGTTCCAACTATTGACTGTTGCAGTTTCTTAAGCTTCCTAAATTTGCCTTCCAGGTGAATATACTGTAATGACAGCTCATTTCCACTTGAAAAGAAAAATTGGGTATTTTGTGATCCAGACATACCTGCCCTGCATCATGACGGTCATCCTCTCTCAAGTATCATTCTGGCTCAACAGAGAATCTGTGCCGGCCAGGACGGTGTTCGGTGAGTGAAGACACGCTCTGTCCTACAGCACATCCCGATCTACAACAGGCTTTGGAAGCATCCTCTCTCTTGATCCTCACCCCAATATGTGGACGGGAGTTCTTGTTTTTACCTTACTGCTGAGGAGACTGAGGCCCCGGGAGGTAACACAGTCAGCGGCACATGGTTAATGAGGGAGATAAACAGTACTCAAATATTCGGAAAATACATCCAGTCTTCTCTCTGTTAAGTGATATTTCTCGTTGACATTTGCGTTTATGGTACTAAAAGGAGATTTCTTAGAGGTTTTCCAGGATAACGACCATATTTCTAGGCTTTCTATGTTTGCTTTTCTGTTGTTTTTAGATGAAGAAAGATGGTCTTAGAACTTTATATTCCAGACAGAGGGAGGGAGAGATGGACCGGGGAGAACCTCATTAATGTCCTTTACTGTGTTTGATATTTCTTGATTAAAAGCAGGCAGGGGAATTTTTTAACTGGGAGTATGGAATACTGTATTTCCAGGCTTTCTAGGTTAATTTGGGTTTTGTTTTGAAGTGAATAAAGATAATTTTAGTACCTTAAATAAGAGAGAGAGAAAGAGAAGGGTATGTCATTCATACCATTATTGTATTTAATAACAAAGTTTATTTTCTTGAACAAATAAAAAACTGTGTGGTGGGGAGTGGGGTGGGTTACTGGTTTTTGGGTATACGAATTAATCTGAACACGTTTTGTAACAAAGCGGGTTACTTTGTGGGTTTGGACCACTCATTCATTTAGGAAAGTTTTATTGAGAAGGTACTCTGGTGATATTACACTTGGCCCTAGAGATGCAAACACAAATAAGATACAGTTCCTTATAGCTTAGTCTAGTGGATGGCAGCAGAATGACCAGAAAGAATAAAGAAAAATCAAGAAAGAGGTAAATATAAGTCATCACAGAAGATAGCAGCATGGATCCTCTCTAGGAGAACTAATTAAGTAGCTGAGTTAACATTTGATTTAAGACTTGAAAGATGAGCAGAAGTTGCTCAGACTGATGAGAGGGGACAAGAATCCTCGCCCAGTTTGGGTGCCATGGCTCACGCCTGTATCCCAGCACTCTGGGAGGCCAAGGCAGGTGGGTTGCTGGAGCTCAGCAGTTGGAGACCAGTCTGAGCAAGGGTGAGACCCTGTCTCTACTGAAAAAAAAAAAAAAGGAAAAAGGAAAAACTAGCCAGGCATCGTAGCAGGTGTCTGCACCCCCAACTACTTGGGAGAATGAGGCAAAGATACTTGAGCCAAAGAATGCGACTGCCTCAAAAAAACAAATAAACAAAAAACCCCACCACAGAAGGACAGATTGTCAGTGACACTGAGGAGTGAAAGAACATGCTGTGTTTGGTGACAAGGAGCTGTTGTGTCAGTAGAAATATAGACGGAAATATAGTTTGAGGCCTAGATCACATTAAGGGGGGAAAAAACTGTGTAAAATAATTTAAATAGGTTTATTATGAGCTAGATGTCTGTGGCCCATGATCCCAAGAAGTGGTGAAGAAATGTGCCTGCAGTCCTTGGCTCACAGGTTGGTCTTACACGTTCACAAAGACAGGAATTGCATGTGAGATCCTAAGAAATTTGTGGGGCAGATACATTGATTTGGCCTAAAAAGGTGGGACGTCTCATAGTAGGGATCCTAGGGTGTAGGTGGGTTTTAAGACACTTTGATTAGTAATTAGTTAAAGAAATGAAGATTTGTCTAAAGGGTTGGAGTGTTTTAATTTAAGGTAAGGATATCTATTAATTAAAGGTAAGCCGCTGGACATTTACCTAATTCAAGAGAGCTGTTAAGTAATTGATAGTCTGCAGGTGTGCTTTGAGATTTGCCTTACATATCCTTAGGTCTGATAATTAGTTGATATCTTATGTCAAAAAGGGAGGGGGCATGATGAGGAATGTCTGAACCCCCTTCTCCTCATGGCCGGCAACTCAGCTTTAAAGATTTGGGGGGTCCTCGTGGCCAAAAGGGAGTCCATTCACTCAGCAGAGGGGTTAAGATTTTATCTTAGTTCACAGTAAAAAGAGTCTTGTGTGTCATGTACTTTTTCCCTATAGGCTGAGCAAGCCACTGTGGCATTCTGAACCATAGTATGTGTAATGCTTTCAGAACAAGGCCTGGTATTTAATAAATGCTATGTAATTGTTAGCTATTATCTTTAAAAACTGCTTTACTGAAGTATGATTGGCATGTACAAATCTGTACGTATTGAATGTGTATGATTCTATGGTTATGAGAAGTAGTTTACACCTGTGAGACCATTACCACTATCAAGGTCATAGACATAGCCAGTCATCTACCAATGTTCCCTCTCACCTCATTTATTATTATTTGCATGTGTAGGAGTGGGTGGATACTTAACATAAAGTTTACCCTTTTAGCAAATTTTAATTATGCAATACATAATGTTGTTAGCTATAGGCACCATGCTGGGTAGGAGATCTGTAGAACTTATTTATTTTGCTTAACTGAAGCTATTCTTATTAATATGATCCTATTTGTACTTTAGAAAGATATGACACTTTTGCCAAGGATGAATTGGAAGATGGGAATTACCTGAGGCAGGGAGAAAATTTAGGAGGCTACTGAAGTAGTCCAGATGAGATATAGTTCGGATATTTCAAAAGAAGACAGCATGAACCAAAGAAAAAAGAATATGATCTAAGGATGTTTGGGAGAGAGGAACAATGGATTTGATGAACATATATAGTAAATACAAGAAAAAAGAATAAGTTAGGATGAAATTTATTTTATTACTTGAACATACTAGGTGGATAATGTCAATAAAAGCAAAGGAACAAGGAGAAAAATAGGAAAAATGAATGTAATTTGAATTAGGAGGATTTTGAAGTTCCTCGGGATATCCATTGGATGTCCAGTAGGCCAACAGAAATAAGTATTAGAATGTAGATTACTAGTAGAAGCGGCTGATTAAAATGGAAATCATTAGCTACTAGATAATGGAACTTTTGAATATAGAACTTATTTCTCAGATAAATTAAGTGGGTGAATATGAGATTGAAGGACAGATTTCTTAAAATATTAAAATTCCAGAATAAAAAGGAACTAATTGGAATGATCAGAAAATTAGGAGGGAAAACAGGAGACAACAATGTTCTAAAAGGAAAAGAGGAAAATTTGAATATCTTACAAACACACACACAAATATATATACTGGTAAGTCTAAAATACATTCAGTGAATTTCCTAGCCAAAGATTCCTGATACTAATGAATTATTTAAATAAGAGAAGTTGCTTGTGAGTAAAATCAGATTGAAATGAGAATAAAAGAGAAAAGGAAGAAGCTGAGTATACACCAAATTCAGAAGACAAAGATTTAAGTAGGCTGGAGAGACAGGTGGGTCATTATTATTAGTACCGTAATTATTATTAATGTAACTACTATAAAAATTTGAACAATAGGGGGACTACTTTATTACAAGCCATACTTTAGTCATTTTGTATATTTATTTACTCTTTATTTCTCCCATGGGGTAGATTATACAAGTAATGTCTCCTTTTTAAGGAGGAGAAATGGGGGTGTAGAATTTCATGTGTCTTGTCCAAGGCACAGAAACTCTACTCCAGTCTCTGTACACTGGCTGCCTTTAAGACTATCTTTAAAGGGAAAGGTCAACTAAAAAAGAAAGAAAGAAAAATTGGAGATATAGAAGAGGGTGGGATTTCGGATGAGTAATACCTAAGGAAAGCATGGTAGAACCTCTGTAAGTTGACCATGCAAGGAACTATTTCAAAGCGGTCAGCATACAGAGGTGGTCCATGTAAGGACATAGGCCTGCGGGACTGATCACGCATGTGCTGTGTTTCCAGTCTGTTTGAATTAGCCCAATGTTAGGAGGTGGCCAATGCAGGGAGATGGTCAACTATGGAGGTTCTACCACACTTGGATGGGGTGGGCTGACAAAAGCAGGAATCCTGCCTCTTCAACATAGAACAAAGGAGCTCAAATAGGCTCTGCTGGTGATTTGGTCTTTCCAAATCTGTATCCAGCTGTCTAAAAAATACATCTATTTTTATATCTTGGAAAAAAGTTGTTTGTTTTTTTAATCATTACATTCTTAGAGGAACAGATTTGCTTAGAGACGATGCCCCTAATTATAAACATGATGAAAAGCGTCAATAATCACAAGAAATAACATCATAAGTTAAAATTACAACCAGAGTGGATCAGATTAATAGCAGAAGGCTTCTGCAGGCTAGGTTTGATGGGAGAGTTTTAGAAAGTGCTAAACAAACAGGGTGCATGAGAAGGACAGAGTGCCCAGAGTAGGGAGAGCAGCTTTCTTTGACAATGTATGCACCTGTACATAAAAACGAAAACAAAATCAGGGGCAAAGTTTAAATCAGGATATGTCTGCAAGGTCAAATTTAATTTAGGATTATTAACATTTGTTCCTTACTACAGTGTCATCCTGCCATCTTTGTACTGATAGTACATGCTTATGATCTATTTATTCTAATTTATTTCAGGACAATTGAAATATTTTGCAGGGTACTATAGAAAGTGGTTATTTTCTTTTATTTATTTATTTATTGTTGGGGATTCATTGAGAGTACAAGAAACCAGGTTACATTGATTGCATTTGTTCAGTAAAGTCCCTCTTACAATTGTGTCTTGCCCCTCAAAGGTGTGTCACACACCAAGACCCCCACCCCCTCCCTCCTTCCCTCTCTCTGCTCTTCCTTTCCCCCATCCCACCTTCCTTCTTTCTCTCTCTGCTCTCCCCTTCCCCCACCATGTCGTCAATTGTCCTCATATCAAATTTGAGTACATAGGATTCATGCTTCTCCATTCTTGTGATGCTTTACTAAGAATAAGGTGTTTCACTTCCATCCTTTAATACAAACCTGGCTGAATTTTTGTAATGGCTGAATAGTATTCCATAGTGTATATACACCACAGCTTGTTAATCCGTTCCTAGGTTGGTGGGCGTTTAGGCTGTTTCCACATTTTGGTAAT